ATAGGTACAGAAATACAATTAGAATGAATAAGTTGTGTTTAACAGCAAAGTAGAGTGACTATAGGTAACAACAAATTATTGTGTATTTCAAAATAGCTATAGGAGAAAATTTGAACTGTTGCCATTACAAAGAAATGATAAATGTTTGAGGTGATACTCTAATTACTTTGATTTGCTCATTATACTTTGGATGCATGTATCAAAATATGACACATACCCCCAAAATATGTACAATTATCATGTATTACTAAAACATCATACACAGTGTGTTCTCTGACCGTAATGGAAACAAACTAGATGTCAATAGCAGAATGATAGCAAGGAAGTATCCTACACTTGAAAATTAAACAACACATTTCTAAATAATCCATGGGTCAAAGAAGAAATCTCAAGAGTAACAATAAAATATTATGAACTGAAAAAAATGAAAGTACAATGTATCAAAATATGTGGTATGTAGTTAAAGCAGGGCTGAGGGTGATATTTATAGCATTAAATGTTTATATTATAAAAGAGGAAAGATCTCAAAGCAACAATCTAAGCTTCTACCTTAAGAAACTTAAGCTTCTACCTTAAGAAAAACAAATGCAAAACAAACCTAAAGGAAACAAAATGAAGAAAATAATAACAGAAACAAATGAAATTAAACATAGAAAACAATATACACACCAAAGAAATCACATTCTAGCTATTTGACGTGATCAATATATTTAATAAACTTCTGACATGACTGACAAAGAAATAAAGAGGACACAAATTACCAATATTAAGAATGAAAGAGTGGATATCACTATGGACATTCAAATATTAAAAGGATAATAATGAAATACTATCAACAATAATACACACATACATTTTACAACTAAATTAGTAGTTGTACACACATACATTTACAACTAAATTAACGAATTCCGCAAAAGCCACATACTACCACAAATCATCCAAAATGAAATAAATAACCTGCTTTGTCATATAGCTGTCAAGTAAATTGAATTATCAGCTGAAAACATTCCAAGAAAAGAAATCTTCAGGTTCAGATAGTTTCACTCGTGTTAGTTCATTTTCTGTTGCTATAACAAAATACCCACGACTGAGTAATCTATCAAGAAAAGAGATTTATTTTGGCTCATGGTTCTGGAAGCTGGGAATTGTAAGATCAGGCAACCACATCTGGTTAGCTTCTTGTGAGGGCTTCATACTGGATCATAAATTGTCAAAGAAGTGGAAGGGGAAGTGGGTATGCTAAAGGGATAAAATCCAAGGCATGACTTTGCTTTATAACAGCCCACTCTTGTGAGAACTAGCCCAGTCTCTCAAGAACTAATCCAGTCTCAGAAGAACTGAGTCTTGTGAGATAGACATTAATCCATCTTATTATCCTAGTCACCTCTAAATGGCTTCATCTCCCAACACTGTTTACATTGACAATTAAATTTCAACATGAGTTTTGGCAGGAACAAGCCACATCCAAACCATAGCATTCTGCCTTTGGACTCCCAAAACTCATGTCCTTCTCAAATACGAAACATAATCATTCCATTCCAATAGTCCCAAAGTCTTCACTCATTCCAGCACCAACTCAAAAATTCAAAACCTTATCCGAGACTCAAGGAAAATTCCTTCCAGCTGTGAGCCTGTAAAATAAAAAGTTATCTACTTCCAAGACATAATGGTGGCACAGGCATAGGATAAACATTCCCATTCCCAAAGAAAGAGATAGGCAGGGAGAAAGAAGTAACTGGACCAAAGCAAGTCTGAAACTCAGCAGAGCAGGCTGTAAACTTTAACGATCCAAAGTAATCTTTCATTCCACATTCTACCTCCTGGACACACTAGAGGCTTGGGCCTCTAAGTGTCAGGCAGCCCTGCACCCATAGTTTTCCTGGACTCAATCCACGTGAAGCGGAAGGGGAAGAAGGCATCCAAAAGGGGTAAAATGTGAGATGTAACCTTACTTTATAACAACCTGCTCTTGTGAGATCTAACCCAGTCCCATGAAAACTAATCCAGTCTCAGGAGAACTAACTTAGTCTCATGAGAAAACATTAATCTATCTTATTGACCTAATCATCTCTAAAGGCCCCACCTCCCAACATTGGCAATTAAATTTTAACATGAGTTTTGGTAGGGACAAACCACATCCAAACCATAGCACACCTAATTCTACTAAACATTTAAAGAAGCAATAACACCAATTCTACACAATCTCATCTGGAAAATAGAAGTGGAAAGAACAAATCCCAACTCTTTTTATAAGGCCAGCACTACCCTGATATCAAGGCTAGATAAAGACAGTACAAAAAGAGAAAACCATAAACCAATATCCTCCATGAACATAGACATGAAAATCCTTAACAAAATATTGGCAAATTCCACCCATCAATATTTAAAAATTGTAATACACTATGATCACATGTGATTTGTCCTAGAAATTCAATACTGGTTCAATATTTAATCAGGCAATGTAGAGCAAACATTTCATTAAATTCAACATCTTTCTATGAAAAAAGCTCTTAGCAAGTTGGGAACATAAGGCATACGTATAAGCAAATACCAAATTTTGATGAGAAATGATTATTGTAAATTTCTAGGTATTTGCTTACCAAATATTTATTAATTGGAAAAGATGAAAAGAGTAACCTTACAGTGGAGAAGCCTGGCAGATATCTTAATCAAGTGGTAAAAGTGGACATCATTAATAATGAGACAAATAGTGTTCACCACCTGATAGGATAAGGAAGGATGTAGCATCACTTCTGTGATGCTTCTGTTAAAGATGCTGATATGGTTTGGATATTTATATTCTCCAAATTTCATGCTAAAATGTAATCCCCAGTGTTTTAAGTGGGGTCTGGTGGGAGGCATTTGGATCACGGGGACATATCCCTCATAAATGGCTTAACACTGTCTTCTTGGTAATAAATGAGTTTTTGCTCTGAGTTCACACGAGATCTGGTTGTTTAAAAATATGAGGCACCATCCCCCTCTCTTTTTTGCTCCCACTCTCACCATGTGGGATGCCTGCTCTCCCTTTGCCTTCCACCATGATTGTAAGCTTCCTGAGGCCCTCACCAGAAGTAGATGCTGGCACCATGCTATATGTACTGTCTGCAGAACTGTGAGCCAATGAAACCTCTCTTCTTTATAAATTACAAAGGCCTAGGTATTTCTTTTTTTTTTTTTTTTTTTTTTTTTTTTTTTTTTTTT